ATTTTTAACACCTGATTAAGGGTCTGTTGTTGTCATAGTATTTTTATTTGTTTCTCTTTTTTAATTCTTTTTATTAATGTATATAATTATAATGTATATAAGTTTTTGTTTTGTTTTTATTTCTTTTTCAACATAGTCTTTAAGTAGTTTAGAATTTTACTAAGATTATATTATTTTAATTTCATTTTATTTATTTATTTTTTTTTTTTTTTTTTTTTTTTTTTTTGGAAAAAATCTCAATTTAATTAGACTTACATTTTAAGATGTTATTATAACAACAAAAAAGCCCAAAAAAATGAAATGGATAATTGTAAATTGGTTTGTCGGAGTGTTTTTTTATATATGAGAATGTTTCTTTGTATGTTATGTAATTTCTTGTTGTTGTTGTGGGATTTTTGAAATAGTTTTTGTTTTTGCTTTGCTTGTTTTTCAACTTAAATTGTTAATTTGTACTTTAAAGTTTTGTACTCAAAAATGTTTATGATTAATTATTTGTTTGTTGTTGCTGTTGGTATTCACTTTAAGTTTTTTTATGTTTTTGCTAGAATTTAACTATAATATGAATGTTTTTTTAATGGAGAGTTTGTTTTTTTATTATATTTAATATAATTGTAAAGGAAAATAAATTTAAAATATTTTTTTTGTATATGTATAATACGAGAGGGGTAGGGGGTATTTAATTAAACTTAAATAACTAAGCAGTGTTTGCATGTTCTTTGTCGTTTTTTTTTTTTGTTATTTTTTTTTATTCAAAATTGTATTTTGATATACATATAATGTATGAAGAATTTCATTAAGGTATTTTAGTTAAAAAAATTTCTTTTAAGATCCATTGATTAGATTTGGGTTGTGTTTCATTCTCTCTTCTATATTTTCATCGACTTTTTAAATTTAGTTTATATGTATATATGTATTGTGTGTATAATCTTGTGTTTTCAACTTATATCTACAGAAAAGTAATCAAGTTAAGTTTTTATGCGCAATTTTTCTTTTTTCATTTTGTTTAGAAGGGATTTTTGTTTCTTTGTTTTAAGGGGGGTGTTGGTGGTGGTGGGGAATGAGCATTTTATGGCAATTAGTTTAAAACAAGCTCTTCTTGTGTTTTCTCACGATTTTTTTTCTTCTTTTTCTAAATAAAACTTACAACAAAAATAGCAATAATATTATTATTACCTTTTCAAATTTAATATTAATAATAAAAAAAATAATTTTTTAAAAATTTCTTTTTGATTTATAGCCTTTGGCAAACAAAATTAAGAACTAAATTGTAATAATGTTTATTATATTTAAAAAATAAAATATATATGGCAAAAACACAAACATAAGGAAAGAAAATATTTTCAAAAATTAAGTGGAATTATATATCATTGTTATGTATTAACAAAATAAATTTATTCTCTTTGTGAGTACATTAAAATAATAAAAAAATAATTTTAGTATATTTACTTTATACCTGAGCATGATAAAAGTATAAATAAATTAAAAATACTATGTAACAAGCCGATAAATATATAAAAAAAATGTTTCTTGAAACCGTGAAATCCATAAAAATATGCCACAAAGTATAAGACGACTTTGACAGATGTATACCCCCAGCCATTATATTTTGACTTAAGTTATGATTATTCTAATTAGACATGCCAAGTTTAAAAAGAATCGCTAACTTGTTTCGATGATATATAAGTATTGAAAATTGAGATCCTTTGTGGGGGGTGGTACCAGAAGGGGTGGGTCTATATCTATAATCTTCACACCAGAACTTATGTGGGTAGAAATATTGAAATGTGCCAAATTTGAAAGTAAACGGATACATTTTTTAAAGTTAAAACTATTCAAAAATAATGACCCTTTGTGGGGAAAGTACCAGAGGGAACGGACCGATATACCCCATCTTCACAACAGAACTTGTGTTCACAGATATTTGGGATATGTCGAGTTTGAAGTAATCGGATGTTCATTTCGCGTTTTATGAGCCAGGGGGTATAAAACGTTTTGACCTATCAAATGATGTAGTCATATGGCTGAGGACAAAAAATAAAGAATTTAATTCGATTGAAGAATATGGTACGTGCATGCCCGTACATATATCTGATTGAATTTTTGTGCCATCAGTTTTTTTTCAAATGTTAAGTTTCCGGTTGATTTATAATTTCTTTCAGAAAATATCCGATTTTAAAAAGAAAAGGTAAAATAGCTATGAGTTTGGCCGGGCCGATCTTTGAATAATGTATCTAAAATCATCAAAATACTGAATATCGGGAGGTACCGTTATATGGGGGCTATACGAAAACGTGGACCTGCACAGACAATCTCCAGTCATAGGCTGTAGTATCCATTAAGATCTTCCAATACGAAATTTGAAATGATTCCGGTGAATAATGTTGCTGAAATCATCAAAATACCGAAAATCGGGAGGTACCGTTATATGGGGCCTATATGAAGACGTGGACTTGCATACACAAATTTTTGTCATAGACTGTAGTACCCATTTAGATCTTCTAATACGAATTTTGAAACGATTCTGGTGAATAATGTTGATGATATCATCAAAATACCGAAAATCGGGAGGTGCCGTTATATGGGGGCTATAAAAAGATTTGCACCTGCATACAAAAATTTTTGTCATAGGCTGTAGTACCGATACGAACTTTAAATATGAAATTTGAAATAATTCCGGCAAATCATGAAAATACCGAATTTGGCCATAAAAATTCACCACATATTTTATATGTTTTGCGGAGTTTTGTCACAAAATCTTTTGGATGATTTTAGTTAAATTGGAAGGAATATCCTATCGGGGTTACAAAATCTAATCTGTGCCAATATAGGAGGCTATAGGACATTTGAAACAACCATACGTATGTATCGTGTGTGGACGAACGTATGTTTTGGGAATTTTGTTATTATTGCCGGATTTGGATGATTTTGACAAGAAAATAACAAATGATAAGACAATAGTTAAAATGCTAGGAATATCCTATCGGGGTTACAAAATCTAATCTGTGCCAAATTATATGAGACTATAGGACATTTGAAACACCCATATGTTTGTAACATGTATGGACGAGCGTGTGTTTTTGGAATTTGCTTATTATTGCCCGATGGATTTGGCCATAAAAAATACACCACATATTTAATATGTTTTGCGGACTTTTGCCACACATCATTTAGACGATTTTGGCAAGAAAATAACAAATGATGAGACAATTATTTCTGTTACATAGTATTGATATAAAATAAAATAAAAACATAATGTTAATGAATGTATATAAATTAAAAATAATAAAAATAACTGAAAACACTAATAATTGTTTCTTGTTGTTGTTGTTGGTGTTTATAAAAATAGATGCATGTAATTCAAGTAGGTTTTACGTACAAATATTTTTCTTCATATAAAAATATTTATGTTATTTAGGTTTTACATATAATAATATATAATTTGTTTTATTTGTTCAATATTGTTTCTTGTGTTTTATATTTTTTTATGTTTTGTTTTTCTATAAATTCAACACCAACATTCGCTCTCGCAGAGTTTTAAATGAATGATTGGTTGGCGCATTAAATGCAACTTGCTTCGTTATGTGGAAGGACTTAAATTACAAATACAATATATATAATTATATATTTATTTATGTATAATATACGTAAATTTTTCATCTAGTTATTATTTATATGTTTTGTTATTTCTCAATATATAATAAAGTTGATTTTTCAGTTGTTGTATTTTTACCCAAAAATAAAATGTTTGGTGGTTTTCGTGTTATTTTCCTTTTCTTTTTTTCTTTTTCTAAAAAATTGTATTTATTTAGGTGTGGTTGGTTGTTTATTCGACTAATGCAAGTTGTCTATGATGTGAAATGCTACATAAAATAGCATTTGTTTATAACTCCAATGATTGAACTAACTAATACTAGAGTCACCTTTCATTGTTGTTGTCCTCATATTATAATACACATGTAAAATAAGAATGATTTTTTTTGAATGGATTAGTAAGAGTAACCCATAATTTAGCTAAAGACATGCTTAAATGGCCATGTATTTTTATATTCTTTTTTTGTTTTGTTCAATAGATGAGACCAGGAACCGTTTTGTATTCTTAATGTGTTTTGTGTTTTATTTTTATATTTGTAAAAATCTAAGCTAAAATACGCCAAGGCCTATATTTAAATATAAATCCTGGTTTCAAAAACTCTCTGTTTAGGTTTGAAGAGTGTCACACAATCATTATACACACAAATCTCACTCTCATTCCGTCCGTATATATTTTTGCTATCCCTTGCTAAACTGCTAAATCCTTTCTCTTTTTTTTCCTAGTTAGTTGCACGTTTACGCGCCGCCCTCTCTTTAGTTTTACTTCATGTTCTTCTTCTCTTTCCTTTTTTCTCTTTAATAAAATCATGGATTTTTTGAAGTATTGCTCTTAAATTGTTTTGTTTTTTATCTGTTTCTTATTAATTTAACTAAGTTTAAGTGTATCATTTGTTTTTATTATATTTTATATATATGTATATGTATAATACTAATGAACACATTTAATAAATTTGTTTTTGTTTTAATTTTCTTTGAAAAGTTTTGCTTTCAATTTCTAGTTTAGGTTTTGTTGCTTATTATTTTTCTTGTTGTTTTTGTTGTTATTATTGTTGTTGTTTTTAGGTTTCTAGCTGTTTTTTTTTTTGTTTTTGTTGTGAATAGTTGGTTGGGTTTTTGAAATTGTAGTTTTGTGTCATTTTTAAGTCGGTGTTATTTAGTCACTTTGGTAATCAGTCTTACTAAACAAAAAAAAATACAAACAAATAAGTTTTTTCTTAAAAAACAAACAAAAAATTGAAAATGTCTAACATAAATGTAAATGAAATGAATTTCCTTGAGCTCAGTCTCAATTATTAAACCTAAAACATATGTTTAAAAAATATAGCTATTATGTTTTAAAAAACACAAAAAGTCATATCTAATTGTTGTTTTGTTTTTCACTCTGTGTAATATCGGCCTATTCGACTAACTTTGTTTTGTTAAATGTATTTTAGTTTGCTGCACTTGGTTTTTTGTTAATTTAAATTGTAAATATGTTCTCTTGTTATTGTTGTTATTTTTTCTTAATTATTATTTATGTTTTTTAGCTTTTTTAAGCTTGACTTAAATGTGATGCTTTAATTTTTTTTTTTCTTCTGTTGAACTTTATTTTTTTAGGTTTTTTCCTCTTTTTTTAGGTTATAAAAGTCTGTTAGAAATTGAGTTTTTAACTTTTTCACTTTTTTTATACAATAAATCAGTCTATTTGAAAAAAAGAAATTAATCTTGGATTAATAGAGAATAAAAAACAATCTAAAAAATAAAATAATAATAAAAAATTAATAATTAATGAATTTAATTTGTATATAAGTATGTGTGTATATGGATGTGTGGTGGGTGGGTGGTATATAAGTAAATATATAAATATGAAAACATAATGAATGTAGATGATAAAACACAATCAAGAAAGTACCATGCCTACCTCTTCCATCCATTAATGTATGGCTTCAAGGCGGGCTAAAAATGAATTTATGGATTTTGGTGGTAGTGGTGGTAATGGTAATGGTGGTTTTCAAGTTAATTTGTATTCTTTCAATGGAGTGTCTTCGTCTTCTTAAGTTGAATGTATGATTCATACTAATAACTGATCCCTAAATTATATATATACTATATGCTATATCTTTTAACGAGGTAATCGTTGTAACTTAAATACTAAAAATGTTTTTTTCTTTTTTTGTTTTGCTATGCTTTGTGTTTTCTTGTTCTGCTTTCTTTTATAATCATTTTTTCAAGAAGATCGATGAGTTTTCTAGCTCACAATTATTTGCAATGACATTACCCATAATTATGAACGTGGTATTGGAGGAGGAGGCGGGATTTCTTTCCTTTGTATAACATGATTCTGTAGTTGTAGAATTAGTTGCTGTAGTACCTGATATCCATCCCCTAGACGGATATGTCGATCGTTAGAAGACATGCACGAAACGTTTGTAGGGATTTGATCCCTCTTTAGAGTCTGGTGATAGCTCGATAAGGAATACAATGCGACCGTCTGGCATTAGGGCCACATCGCATGTGCGATCCTTTTCATCGAGTGTGGGAGGCATTAATGGATTCAAAGATGGTCTGATTTCAATCTGGAGGAAAAATAAAATAAAAAATTAGTTTTTTATTACAACAAAAAAAATGCATTGACTTTTACTTACATCCCACAAATAATCCAAAGTCGGACTATAGACCACAATACGTTGATTCTTGGAATCGGCTACTATAATACGACCATCATCGTCACAGCAAATACCTGAAGGGCGATTAAATTCTTGGAAACCGGAACCTTCATGACCCTTGGCTGATAATATCTGTAAGGAAAATGAAATCAAAATCAATCAATCAATAAAGGAAAATGTAACCAATTACGAGATCTCACACTTACATCATTTATGTCAGGATCAATCAGGTATAAACAATGATTGTCAAAGTCGGATACTATTATATTGCCCGTGGGCGTGTAACACACACCACGTGGCGAGGCTATGCCCTTATTGGAACCATGATTATCAAATACAATTTGCCGTATAAATCTACCCTCGGAATCGAATTGTTGGACGCGATGATTACGTGAATCGGTTACCACTATTTGACGTCTCGAATTAACAGCCACATCCCAGGGATATTGAAACTGTCCGTATTCCTTGCCATAGCTGCCGAATTTCAACAGGAAAGCACCAGTCGAGGTGAATATTTGCACACGATGATTATCCTTGTCGACGACAATAATGCGATTGTCAATGTCGACACAGATGCCGGCGGGCAAATCGAATTCGCCATTGCCCACTCCTTTGCGACCGAATTTGAATTTGAGCGAGCCATCCGGATTGAAGACTTGTACACGATTGTTGCGTCTGTCGGAGACCAGAATGTGACCCATTTTGTCAACACACAAACCCCAGGGGCGGCTGACTTGACCATCTTCATGACCCTCGGTGGCAAAGGATAGCGACAAGGCATTGGAGTTACGTGCCTTTACAGGTTCTGTGGTGCCGGGAATTGCTGGGGTCGAACGTGGGGCACCGAAATGTAAACCCGGCGAACTACGCATAACACTGAGCTCCCAGTCTAAGCCTGGGTTGGGCATGCTGCAAGCACTGCCACCTCTAACTTGCATGACTGGCGAAGGATTGCGGAATGAGTTGTCGCGCAACAGAGGACGTCTCATATTAGCCGGAACTACAGCGCCATTGGGCATGCCATTGCCAGGCATGGAGAGTACAGTGCCCACCGACTCGACAGCACCGGTGCCACCCACAATTGTACCACCACTAATAGTCATCAGTGGCATATTCTTTTCATCGACCAAGACAATGCCGCCCTGATTGCGAATGTCCTGCAGCAATGTGTAATCGGGAGCTGAGAATGCAAACACTTCTTGCTTAGGCTGGAGATCTTTGTAGATGGCAGCGAATTGTTCCAACTGACGTTGACCGTTGGTCACCTTCATGGCAATGTCAACCTGATCCATACGAGCACCGTTCTCGGCTACTTTATGCAACATTTCTGAGGTCTCAGCCAGGCCGGCCAAAGCGGATTTCAAACCAGCCATTTGGTCGTGCAACATGGCCAGGCGACGTTGGCGCAGTTTCTCAACAAAATCCAAAAGGAAGCGTTCACGATCCTCCAAGGCAATGAGGAACTGGCGGAAACCCTTGCGAATGTTGTCGCTCAGCTCGGCACAATTGCGCTCAACGTGGCGTATAAAGGCCAGCGCTTTGTCAATGCTGCTCTTAATGCATTTGGTGCCCATGCGACTGCTTTCCAATGCCGACTCAATCTTTTCCCTGGACTCGTCGACAAAGTTCTGTATGGACGAGTAGCAGTGCTCTTTGTGTTCGTGCAGAGTGCAGCACTGGCAGACGAGCTTCTTGCAGTATTCGCATACATAGCGCAACAGCTCGTTGTGTTGATCGCACAAATAGTTGGGACTGGGTACAATGGGCACACTGGTAGACATGCCGCCTGTGGGAGAAGTGCCAATTGGCGTGGGCAAGGATATTATGGAGTGGTTCGAGGATAGCGGTGATTTGCGATGTTCTCGGAGACAGTCGTTGCACATGAACTCATTGCACTCCAGGCAGCGTATGGAGGCGTTCACCTCACACCAGCTACAGCTGATGCTGGAATTATTCGAAGATTCGGGGGACATTTTGGGGGGAGCCCTCATGGGTGCCGTGCCAATGGGAGCCACACCAAGACTGAATTCATTTGGTGCCTCCAAGGAACTCAGGAGATTGTTGAAGAAGAAGTCATTACGTGGTGGTGAACTGTAAGCAAGGAAAATAACAAATTGCGGTTAGGACATGTCGTCGTCTCGAAATCCAGTGCGGCGGAATACTTACTCATTGCGTGGATTGCTGCCCATTATGCCACCGTTTAGTTCCCAAGCTGGAAATGAGTCCAAGATACCGGCCAATAGACGTTCGGCCGTGGTTGCCTGGCCGTTTTGATTTCCGTTCGCTGCTGAAGTATTGCTGGTTGCCGAGGCCATCTGAGTTGGTAGGGAGTTGTTTGACAACAGTTCCATCATAAAATAATCGCTAATCGTTTAAACAATTTCACGGCACTATTGACGGACAAAATAAAGCCGCAATAAATTACAATACACTTGGTGTTCGGAAATTGAAAGAGCAGCCGATAAAGGAAAAAATTGACAATTTTTTTTTTAAATTAATTTTCTTTCTCGACGAAAAATACAAAATATCCCAGGGAGTATCTTGCTGTCGTAGTCGTTCGGTTGTGTTTTTGAAACTTTTAGTTTAAGTTAGACTTTTTTAAACTCGTTACGAGATTTGCCTTAGTTTGTTTTTTTTTTCTCCAGGAAGCGTTTAGAACGCACGCCTTGAACAATCGAATTGTTGTGGTCTTGGTGATAAACTCTAAAGAGATGATGATGACGCCAGATGAGACTGATTGCAACTGATGCCAAACGGGGAAGATGCAATGCCTTAAGTAGTGAAAGAAGGCAGCTTAGAATTTCTAAAAATAGGATCTGTGCTGTCTCAGACTAAATCTTAGGTAGAGCGCAAAGCATTGTCTAAGTGTGTGTGTGTGTGTGTGTGCGGACATGGGATATTGGTCCTGCTGACAGAGTAGGTGCGTTGTGTGTGTGTTTGTGTGGCATGCATCATAAAGGTGCACAATAGGTAGGAAAACTGATCGTTTCCTTTGTTTGCCTGTGTGAGTGTGCAACGCTACACTTTCCGAAAATACATGAAAAACCCATCAACGGCTGCACAATTTTCTTCCTTTCTCTTAATTTACAAACGGAGCAGATGTGTGTCATATTGTATCCTAACAACAGGATATTCTCTGTGGATCAACTACAATGGCTCGAGTAGCAGGTCAACGATTTGGAAACGTTTTCCTTAAGATTTACAGTCGAAACTAAAACGCAACAACAACTGTAACTAATTGATCGAGTTCAAAGAAAAACAATCTTTAGATGACATTCTGAGCACTTTGTTGCGGCCGGAGTGGGATTGAGTATGGAATGGGAATTAAGGATATCCTGAGGATTTCGTAGTTTTGCCTTTCCAAAGAAATATCAACAATTGTTTTACGGGGCCTTTCTTTTGGTTCGTTGCATGTTTAGGAAAAAATGGAAAAGTAGAAAAGAAGAGAGTGAAGGAAAGAAAGCATCTGCCGTCGATAAATCAATTTTTAAACTAGACTCGAGTTTTATGGAACGTGCTTTTCTACATTTGTTATATTGTGGCTGTAGACGATCCGGTTTGTGGAGAAGGGGAGCACCGTTGATGAATTTTCAACCCCCCCAAAAAAATGAAAATGAACACCAGATGTTTATAATGTTCACTACCTATGCTAGAGAGGAGGAAGTGCTGCTTAGGTATGTCTCAAAGAACTGTCAATTAGGGTTCCTCGGTTCGATTTAATGATTGTCTGTCTATCTGTCTGAGGGCATGGAAATAATGTTTCTTTTTTGTTTCTAAAATTAAATGTCCATTGTTAATTAAGTGTAGAAAGTCATTACATTGTCGAAGAAGGCAAATGTGCCCCAACTCCCCTCTCTCTCTCTCTCTCTCTCGCTCTCTCCACGAGTAATAGCACGAGGGAAGTTTAGAGGAAACTCGTACTTAACACTGCTACATTTTTGTCACCTTGGTTTTACGTTTCCAAAAATATTTCCAAACTTAAGTTCGGAGATATATTTAGAAATGCAGAATTTCCATATCACTGATGTGTCGCCGGAGTATTTGCTTATCGATTGATTTAAAGTAAAACACATAAACTGTTTACAGGGGGAAGAAGGGAGGATAGGTGTGATTTTCATTTCGAAATCTGTTGGTAAATATCACCTAAAGACAAATGGAATTTAATAATTTATGTTACAGTAATAATCTCCGACATATCCCCCGGGAATTAAAGTCATTGATCTTAAGAGGAAAGAGAAGGGCATCTGAGAATAGTTTATAAATTTATTTTTAGAACGTGATCGCAGTTTGACAACAGAATACATGGACGAGAACTAAAAAATCGAACTAGTAAACTATGGCTTTTGAAGTTTGAAAAAGTAAAACGACTTCTGAATCATCATTTAATCGACTTTTTGTAATGAAAACCCGAGTAAACCCGTGCTAACAACAGCAGTCCACTTTTCGTAATAAATTTTGAGATCAATAGATTTTTGGCTAATTTTTATACCCTCCACCATAGTATCGAGGGTATATTAATTTTGTCATTCCGTTTGTAACACCTCGAAATATGCATTTTAGACCCCACAAAGTATATATTCTTGATCAGCATAAAATTCTAAGCCGAAAATTAGCGCCGTCCCTCCGTCTGTGGAAATCTCTAGCTTCCGAACGAAATGAAGTAGGTTGATAAAATTTTACTCAAATGTATAGTATATCTGCAGGACTTTTGGTACTGAAAATGGGCCCTATAGGTCCACGTTTTGGTATAACCCCCATATAACGGTACCCCCCACATTCAGTATTTTTATGATTTTAGCGACATTATTCACCGGAATTGTGTCAGATTTGGTATTTGAAGTTCGTAATGGATACTAAAGCCTATGACAGAAAAGTGTCCGTGCAGATCCACGTCTTCTTATAGCCCCCGTAAAATGGTACCTCAATTTTTCGGTATTTTGATGATTTTAGCGACAGTTTTCACCGGAATTGTTTCAGATTTGGTATTTGATGTTCGTAATGAATGCTACAGCCTATGACAGAAAATTGTCTGTGCAGATCAACGTTTTGGTATAGCCTTATATAATAGTACCTCCCTACATTCGGTATTTTGATGATGCTCTAATATAACGGCTACATTCGGCATTTCTAAGATTTTAACAGAATTTTTAATGGATTTAATATTTTTGAAAATTGCCAAATTCGTTTCAAGTGGCGGAGGGTATTCAAAGTTCGGCCCGACCGAACTTATAGCTTTTTTACTTGTTAATTTTCATATGACTACGCAATATCCATTTTAAATTTTTAAAATGACCACAACAAACCTTTATTCTTCCCAACATTTGTCCCTAAAATTATACATCATCTCAAATCGACTTAAGTCAATTTTGGTTTGAGGAGTTCAAATGGAAATTTGATTTTTAACTTAATCGATAAATCGGATAGTTGGCTTTTTTGCTGAAGACAAAAGTCAAAAAGTTCCAAGGTTGACTTTTGCTCTCGGCTAAGTGTCACGAATATACCAAGGAGAACCATATTCACAGACAATTTTATAATTTTGAAAATCGAAATGATTCAACTCAGGAGCGTACTCCTTGCAAATGAATTTGCGTATGCCATTCCAATTTGATGAAACTAGAAAGCAGTTCTCTTATCCAAAACGTAGTAGAATCTATAGCCAACTTTGAAGAACACACAACAAATATCAGGTTCTCTTCAACTGTATTTTTTTCAAATAAATTGAGACGAGTAAATAGTTAGAACATGATTGGCATCTTTAGTGCTCTGTTATAGAACCTGCAAGATTGTATAAATGTTACTATGATAACATATTGTTTCTTTAGGATATCGAAAAATGGATTTTTCAAATTACCACCTAGTTTTGACACTTTTATCAGTTTTCCCCTGCTGGCAGAAGAAGTATTGCTCTCCAAGTCCTATATAAGGTCAGCCAAGAAAACTTCTTTTGGCAACAATTTGACCATAAATTTACTAGTTTTTGCAAAATTGTCTTTTAGGAGTAAACTTATGCTCTCTTCCAGAAACTGCAAGAGTCTACTATAATAGCATTTTTTCGATATCATAAAGAAATTGTCGGTTATCGTAGTGAAAATATTTACATTCTTGCAGTTTTGGAACATACCATTAGTGTTCATATATAAGCCATGATGTAAATCGTTGTAGAATCCCTTGCAACTTCCACATTGTTGAAACCATTTCCAAAAGAAAAGAAAAAACTATTCTCTCTTCGATGTTTCTTTTTTGCATTCAATTTTTGTTTTTTGCCAAAAAATTTTCATTTCCGGAATTTCCTTTTTTATTTTGTGCCAACAACAATTTTGCCATATTGCAACATTTATGAACAGCATCTTCATTTGTAATGGTCGATCGTAAAATGCGATTGCACATTTTTTTACCTGGAAATTATTTTAAATTCTGAAAATATGGACAGGTAAAAGATTTAAATGTCTATAAATAGCAGATTTGAAGAAGTGATTAGAGCTGTGTAAAGCATTAGAAGAGATATTGTAAAATATTAAGAGATTTATTTTACAGCTCTCTTTAAAATCAGCGGAACGCAGACACGAAATTGACACACAGATGTCATTGGTTGTCAGCAGTTTTTGTGTTATAAAATTATGTATGGTAACCCTTTTTTTAGCTCCATCAAAAACAAGTGGTTTTGGGAAAGTTTCATTCGTTTGCTTCCTATCACTAACAAAAATACCTCTCGGAAAATTACGTTCGAGTTCCTTAAGTTATATTTAAACAAGTTAAAAAGTATCAGTCGTTGACCCTTTATGGTGGAAGTTCCGAAGCAGTTGTACAATATAGACCAAATCGAATCTGACCTAAAACTGGCAGATTTGGACTATTCCGACTACTTCCTATACTTTATTTGAAATATCTTCAAATTTTTGGAAAATGTAGAAACATGCGTGAGGTAACAGCTATAGAAGACCGAAGTATTCCATTTTTCATACTTCATCTACTACAGATAAAAATAGTGGTATGTGCAAAATTTGAAGGAAATCGAACATTTATATGCGAAATCATAAATTCCGATAATTTGCATATTCATATCAGATATCTGATTAGGAGAAACCTTGATATAGCGAGATGTAAAGAATCATCGATTGTTTCGCAAGTTATGACAGATATAAATATTGGAAATTGTGACCCATTGTGGGTGAGGTACCAGAAAAGGTTGGCAGATATATATATCATCTTCACAAGAGATCTTGGGTTAGCAAAAATATTTGAATACGTTAAATTTGAAGAGAGTTGGATTTTTATTCCGCTTTCTTTGAACATTTGGTTTTCAAAAATCTTGAAACCAATGTGGGGAAGGTGCCAAAAAAAAGTGGACCGATATATTCCAATTTCACCCCAGACTTTGGGTTAATAAAAATATTGTGATGTGTGTAATTTGAAGAGAACGAGATGCTTATT